AAACCTGCAAATCACTGCATTTAGATTAAATATGATTTTTTCCATAGTTCCTTAAAGCAACGGTTAGTACCAAAGATCAGATTGTTGCACAGAGCATGGAAGAGTAAAGTGGACAGCTACACAGTCTTTGCAGTTTTGGCTCTGCACTGGCTCTATTGCTGGTGTCTCTCAATATGAAGACAAAAGAAGTATAAGTAAAGCAGTAAAGCAGCTCAGCAGGCTGAAATATCTCCATAAATCAGCTCACCAAGGTATTGGATCATGCTGTACTTCATGTGCCCATCTCTAACTCTACAGATTTTTACGTGCTTTTTAACAAAATGTACCTTTGTCTGTTTCTGAGGTTTACCAGTGGTTTGTATCTTGGTAAAGTCTCTTTATCAGTGGTAATATCTCTGAGGTCATGTTCATAATATCGAAAGTCTTGCTCATAGTTTTCAATCTCAATAGCACTCTTTATCTGTTAAATAGTAATTCTTTCTTAATGAAAGAATTCTTTGGTCATCGACTACTCATCTGTTGTTTTCCAGAATGTTTGTCATTCTTACGCTCAGTAGTGCAAATCTGCTTTTTTCGTAACCTACCATGAAGTTAATTTTGACCCATGTATTGTTTTGGCTGCACAACTGATTGAATTATTCTGACTTTTATATCCAAGATGGCCTGCTTTAATGACGTTGACACTTTTTTGGTCCTCATGTTGAGAGACAACAGTAACAGACTCCAGATGCAAATGCCACATCTGGACTCTAGATATTCTCTTTGCTCAATTGTGCATGAATTAATATTGCCTTGACACAGGCAACAACTGGCCAACAACAATTCTGCAGCCAATTGTCCGAATGCTTACGAATGCTTTTCTTCTACAAGTTGTATTAGAGGTGGCACGATAACTCTTTTTCTTTTCTGATACTGATGCTGATATTGAAACCTTCCATCAATCAACACTGATACCAATAATTTTTCTTTGCACACTACTTAGCTTTAAAATTAGTTATTTTTAACTGGAGCACTTCACTTAACAGACCCATAATCTAGATGTTTTTTTTTGTATTTTATATTTTTCCCCTGAAATCCACTTATAGTGTTGTGTGGTTTTATGTACCTCTGTTTACCTTTTAGATTTAAACAGGCTGTTTTTGTTACTGATACGTAAAGACTGTCATATCGTCGCTGTCTAAAGAAAAACAAGTATCTCCAAAATAGTAACTTTACAAGAGAGGGCAAAAACACTCATCATGAAGAGGTTTTATTCCAAGTGATTGAAATCATGTAGAAACATAAAAACCAACAAAAATGGAGATACGTGGTTTTCTTTGGACAGTGATGATATGTAAATGACCTTATTTTAATTGATTGCGCTGTACTGCGCCTCTTTCTAAAAGCATCCCAGGCTGAAACACTCCGTATAACTTCAGTGTGAATGGGCGGGGCTAAAATGCTGTAGACTCAATAAGTGGGTATATGTAAATGTGTTGGTTTTCAATACATCGCAAAAATAATGATTTCGAAACAGGCTGTTTTTGGACTGTATGGACTAGGGAGTGAATAGTACTTTTTGAACTAATTATTAAACTATTTTTTATAAAAAAAAAAAAAAAAAAACTGGAAAATATTTTTCCATGATATGAGCTGCTTAAGATAAGTAGGCTATGATGCTACCCCACAGGAAGAAATACATAGCTGACTACATGACATCATACAACATGATTGTGTGCTATTTCAGGTTAGATTAGTTACAGGATTCAATCACAGTCATTCTTTTTTCCCACTGATATCCAATCCAGCATTTTCTGCTAATATCAGCCTGACATCGATGCCCATCGATGCCCTTATGCCATCTCTACGATGTATTCTTAGGGGGAAAAGCATAACTCATAAGCTTGCTTAGTTAGCTGTACAGCATTTTAACAGACAACCTGTTTACACAGAGGGAACCCGTTCAATGTGGACAACACTTGATAAAGCTGTTACTATCAGGAGAGCAAGAGAATAGCATATATTTAGTTTGGGGCAAGAGCTAAAGCCTTCAGTGCCCTGCTTAAGATATTTCATGTGTCCACACCCTCCATGTCTTTGAGCTGTAGCTATGCAGCATGTGCTGTGTTGGCAGGATGTGTGTACCCTTTTCACTCGGCTCGGATGGAGCCTCTGCCCCTTGCTGTGAGGGTAATGGCCCCGTCAGCACAATACGCACCCTTGCCCTTCTCCACCACCCTGTTCCCCGCTGCCTGTCAGTGGTGGGTCATCTGCTCTTTCTCCAGAAACCACACACACACACACACACACACGCACACACACACACACACACACACACACCCTGCCACTCTCAGGGCAGGCTGAAGAAGACCTGTGTATTAGCACAATGATGTATTTACATATTGTTATTATTATCAGCACAAGACCTCCTAACTTTATCGGAAAAGAAGAAAACATTCTCAACTTAAATTTTCATTAATGTAAAGAGATACGATTGACATGGTACTTCTTTTTTGTCTATTGATCAATTCATCATAAAATGTTCACACAGTGTAAATGACTTTTTTCAAATGGATGGTTTTAAAGGAAAAAAACATGATGAGCTAATTAAGATTAGCATCTAAAAATAGGCTACAATGCTCAAACTATTCAAACACTACTATCTTGTACTCTTTGAAAAGGTAACTTTATAGGAAAAAGTATCTTTACTAAGATTCATTTTGGGCAGTTTCTATTGATCCATTCATCCTCAAATCTTCACACAGTGCAAATGTCAGTTTTTAATGTAGTGCAAAAAAGTAGTGCATGACATCAATGACAGATATTTTACTTCTGATAAAAAAAAACATTTATGAGTACAAATGTGCTTTTTGGAAGCATCTATGTATACATGTTGGGGAGATTGTCTTGCACGCACATGTGCTCTCTGCACCAGTGCACTACCGAAGTGTTCAAATGAAGCTCACATGTTGACAAGCCAGAGTGGCATGAGAGCTCCATGGGCATCCAGTCTCCCTTCATGCCCTTTGACATTAGCAAGATTGAAGTGGGCAGTGGCACCGCTCGCTGCCCGACACCAGATACCTCAGACCTCTGGCATTTGATTCAGGATGATGACACCCAGTGGCAGAATGGGCTCACAGCCAGTGCAATCCCCGCTAAAGCACAGAGCCAGCCTGGGCACTCAGAGGAGCAGCCCTCTGCCATGCCACTCTCAGCCTCATAGTGAAGTTAGCATGCTAAACTGTGCGCTAACTGGCTACAACCACTCAAACCAATGAGCAACAACTTCAACTGTAAATTATTCCATTTGGTGTTGTAGTAGTTTCATACGAAACTTTATTTCTTACTCTTTTAGCCAGATTTATATCCGCATTTACAGAAAACAGGTTTGTAACTCATAATACGCTGCTTTAATGACATGAGGAAGAGCTAAGCTAGCTAGCTAGCTGCATCTTAAGCATCTTAATACTTTTTAACTTTAAAACTTTTTCCAAAGTTGATTAAAAGAAAAAAGTTAGCTAAACAAAGATTTTACCCAAAATGTAGCTTTTAATTAGAGGCCGCTTCAAATGCACCAATATCCTGAAATGTTTTATTTGATTGCGTCAGCCTCTCAGCTCTTTGTCAGAGCAATACTTTTTCCATGCTGAAAAAAGCCGCAAGAAACAGCATGAATTCCATGCTGGTCAAAGGTGGTTTATGCAGGTCTGGTGCTGGTTTAGCTGATCACCCAGGATGGTTATGCTGGTTGACCAGCATACAACAATCCAAAGCACAACAACTCAGATGGCAAGAGGCCTTTTTGCTCAGCATTTTCCAGGCAGCCCACTGGTGGTTAAGCAGAGTATTAAACAAAACGTCACTTTTCCTTGCTCCTTTTCCTCTCACAGTCCAATTTGCTGATTGTTCCTTTCGTTATCCTTTGTAAATTAGTGATTCATTATAACAGCAATATCATATATTCATTAAATAAAGCTGGTTATACAGCTGTAACCAATCTAGCACAGTGTCACATGAGCAGAAAGTAACTCCATTATCAGTCTCACCCATAAATGGAATAGAATTTTTAAAAGAATTAATTTTCTGAGTTTTTGATTATTATTCTTTCACATCCTGTTCTCACTTTGCATTTATACTGAACACACTTTTCTGTTCTGTACAAGGTCTACTTAAAGTTTACCAGCCACAACCTAAATGTTTTGTCTGTCTTAAAGACAAATCCTCATAAACTCTCTTCCACACGTTCATAGCACATGAGTTGATCAGCATCCAAATAAGCAAGTATGTTTCAAGAATGTTTCCTAAACAGCCGCTCTAATCTGCGTTAAACAGGCTTAAACCCTTGCCGTTCAGGCTCTTGGCTGTAGCACTGAAACAGGCGGCTCTTTAAGTGCTGTCGTTTTTGTAACATTTATTCTGCTGAAGCTCCTGGAATCTCTCCTCCAGTCTGCCCCTGCTTGTTTTTATAAACTTTTTATGACTTCATTACAGCTCTTGAAATTGGACTGGAGTTTTTTCTCGATTTCTTTTTTTCTTTCTTCTCAGCTCAATATGCTACACGTGGCAGGGTCCTGGATGTGATTATGTTTCTGATATTTTCATTAAATATTTCTGCAGTCCTCTCGCATAGTTAATCAGGAAATGTTAACGTTTGTGTGTGTGTGATGTGGGTGAGATACTGTCCTCAGACTAGTTTTGGAGCTGTTCTTGCATGGGCCCCGCTGACAGAGTAATTGATCGGGTTAATGTTTCATGTAGACCTTTTGTAATTTATGAGATTCATTCAAAATTTCCCCTTTCCATTCCTGAATGGCCTTCTCACTGTACTGCTCTGGCTGGAGGAGATTCCAGGACAAGCCCTCGTTCACAGGTCACACTCTGTGGGAAAAAATCCCAAATAAAGAATGAAGGAGAAAGTTTGTCCGTCTCCATTTATATGATAGTATATATACCATATTATGTAAAATAACGGAAAAATGAACTTGGTTCTTGCAATACTAAGTAGACAAAACTCTGCATTTGTGAAACCATAATGCAATTAATTTTATTGCCAAGTTGATTTAGAATACAGATGCAAACAAACAAAAAAATTAATTTTCACAACGGCTTTTAAAACAAATAAAAGCCTAATCAAAAAGAACACAATTTTTAATACCCCACAATTGAAATTTATACAAAAAAATTATAAAACATTTGACATGCAATAAATACATTCATTTCACTAAAAAGCAATTTGTAACAATGAAAACAATATTGACAATGTAATGTAGAAAAATACTGCTCGGTTTTATTTGTATTGCTTGTTTTTGGTTTCGAAGTCACGTAAATCTTGCAAGAAAGCACTTGAAAGTGGTGTATTAAATTGTATTATATTTGAAATAAGTTCAGAACAAGAAGTAATGGTGATCACTGAAATCAAAACAGAAGCGCTGGTGTGTTGGTTGGCTGGGAGGCAGTGGGAACATCCACAGTTAGCTGAGGTTTTTTCTTCCTTTTTGTCTCAAAGTCCTAATACAATTACTGTTTATGAATGCCTCTGATTCAGGTCCACTTTCAAACGTCTGCTTTCTATACTGGCTCGCCTTTTTCTATTTTTCTTTGAACATCTTGCCACTTCTCTCCCGTTCTTTTTTCTTCTGGACTTTTTGTGAATGTGTATATGTACATGTGGGTGTATCGGTACATGTTTGTACTTATGTGTGTTTTGTAGACCATTCAGTCACCTCAGTGATATTCAGGCCAGCGTCCTTTCTGTTTCAGCCCATCAGTAACACAGCCTGCGCTTTAGTAATGGCTTTTCCAACTCAAAGCGACACTCCAAAAGGAGCTGGGCAGCCTAATTAAATCTGACCTAATCTGGAACAGGGTGCAGTGACAAGGCAGCCTGCCATCCAGCTGTGTGTGTGTGGTGTGTGTGCGCGCGGTCATGCATGACTATCAGCCTCTCGATAACATCGGCCACTCCGTTCTGCCATTCTCTCAGTGTTAATCTTCGCCTTTTTGTTTACATGCTTGCTCGAATTCCTCGGCTGGCCGAACTGAAGCTGCTCTAAAGCCGGTACACAAGCACAAACAAATTTATGGGCAGCTCTACATTTCCTGATCTTACTGGTCAGGGTTCTGCTCTGTCCGTTTCAGAGCTTGGAGAGGGTACAACAGAGCTGGAAGTGCCAATCTAAACACACTGAAGAAAGCATTGGTGGCCGTGGCTCCTCGCTGCAGGCACACAGAGAGCCTGTTCCCTGCGTGGGAAGATGGGGTGATAATTTGAGGGCCCGGTAACACGATACCCACGCTCAGGGCACAAGCTTTAAAATGGAAATGTAAAACCCAGTTCGCTATGACGCTGTCATTCAACGCCACTCAGAAAAAAAAGAACCTTCCTCTAACAAAGAACCAGGCTCTTGTTTTAAAATTTACTAAGAGGCCCAGTGAAGAGTCCAAACCTGTCCCTGAAGCTGAAAAACAGAAGTGCATTAATCTTGTCTCCTTATGGACTTGGTCTTTCTCTAGAGTTCAGACAAGTTTATACTCAGCCCCTTCTCGGTGTTCTTTAAAGAGATGCCATAGAAGAACCACTTTGGCTCCCTAAAGAACTTCTTTAAAGGACCATTTTTGCAAAAGTGTAACCTTCCACATTATGTAAAGCTCCGTTACCAGTGCACAAATTTCCCTATGTCCATGCAAAGAACCATTCTGACACCTTCATTTTTAAGAGTGTAATGAAGCTACGGCACCAGCCGACATGTGCAAGGCTATGTGTTGTCCTCCCTAAGCATCTTTCTGAGTGCTTTCTCTCTCGTCCCTGTCAGTTTCCCCTTTGTATCATCAAGCGTTTCCTTAATCACAAACTCTTTTATCTCTAGCTCTGGTATATTTTTATAGTTATTAAGTCTGAGACAATAGGCCTGTCTGCTGTTTATTTGGCCACTCTTGCCCCATAGAGAATAGGAACACATGCCTTCGAGTTCACCGTGGAACTTGATCGGGGCGTGAAGGGAAAGAAAGTGGTTGTTCGCGTAAACATTTAGACAACTGTCTTCTTCAGCATGAAGAACAGCTGGACACCACTTCATCAGAAGGCGCGGCTGTGGGCTAGTGGTCAGAGCAGTGGGTCAGCTAGTGGGAGGGGGCACTCAGGGGATGCTTACAGAGAAGCTCGAGAAAGAATGCTGAATTAGACTGGGAGAAGGAGGGATGGCGAGTGGGCAGAGGCAAAGGGAGCGGCGCAAGAAGAGTGAGACCGTAAGAGCTCAACGGCTGCAGGGAGAGTGCAATCATGAGGCGATGATTTCTCCAGAAATGTGCCCTCTTTATGAGTCAATGTGAAACAGCTGAATGCAATAAAGGGCGCTGAGTGTGTCAAGGTTTGCAAGCTCTCTCGTACATGCTCTCTCCTTCTGAGTTGGGAGAAGGAAAGACAGGCAGATGGACAGGTGCATAAGAGGTCATTTCCCAAATGGCCAAGCTTCATGCAGGCAAAGCCCAGACCGCGTCCGGCCCAGAAGACTCAATTAAGAAAGTCCTCAAACAGTCAAAACTTACAGTTCATTATCTATACATAATATCTATACGTGGTAGGAGCTTGCAAAACAAGCAGAAACGTAGATTGCACCAACTGTTGCAAGGAAGTGAGTGGTTTTGAGGCATGATTGTGGATAAGAAACTTCTGAAGAATCTCTAGGCTATGGACAAGATAAAACTATCTTAACAGCATGCAAGCATTCATCCTCAAGCTGACACCTCAGATCTGTACCACTGAAGCCCTAACCAACTGAAATCAAGCCACTTGTGGGACCACAATGGCCGTCCTTTAACACCAGCAGTAATGCAGTAATACGCTTTTGATTTGGCTGTTTATATGTTCTGTGAACACACTCTCCGCTGAGTAGATTCCATCAATATAAACTTTAAGGCTGGCTTCAGTAAGCTTTGGTTTCTGCTCTGACTGAGGGAGCTTCCTCAGACTGAGAGGAATATTTCCCTTGGACCAGTTCATGAAGTATGGTTAGTACAGTATATTGTTCCACATATTTCACTTCATCTCTCAAGCTTTGCTTTTCTTCACTTGGCCCACTCCGAGGACGCAAAGGGTGACCAGAGGGTTAACAACTCTCTGTAAACTGTCAAACATTGTCTCTGTCGAGCACAAAAAAGGAAAAAGGCATGAAGAAGATGCAGAAGAAGCGAAAGAAGAAGAAAACAGTAATGACGGGCTAGCATAAGGCGGCCAGGCATTGCATTCCTTTTCTGAATGGAGAGGAGTCTTAAGACCAATCTTCCACAGTCAGGAGAACAGTTGGAGTCCCACCGCTAAGCTCTCTCTCGCTCTCATTCACTCACTCCCTATCTTCATCTGCCTATCTGGCTTTGAGCAGAACCACACCGCACATCCTGCGGACTGCTACTACTGAGCCAAAAATTCACTTCCCCTGCTCAAGTCCGCTCTTTCCCTCAAGCTCAACGTTAACACATGCGCTCTTTACACACTCAAACAGCTCCCATACTCTCTTAAAAAAGGGTACCAGAAAGGGTTCTTTGGAGCAATGCCACAGAACAGAGTTGAACCCAGTTTCCAGTCCTGGATTTTGTATTCACTGGTAGTTAAGTGAACTATTGTAACTAATTGAATGCGTAGAGTCATACCCACGAATTATTACAAATTCCAGGACCGGAAATTGGATTCAAGGTCTAGATTTAAAGACCTCTGCTGTAGAAGAACTACTTTTGATTTTCCAAAGAACTTTCCAGTGGATGGTTCTTCGAAGTTCCATTTTTATAAATGAGATGTAAAGATTTAAAGAACCTCCACAAAATGTGAAGCTTTTTCCAAGAACTGTACATAAAAGTCAAGATCAATTTAGAAACCTTATTTTTTAAGAATGTAGAGAAAGACACAAGCATGAGACCCTCCATATACGAACATATGCCACATTCTTTTGTGCACATTCTCAGGTGCATTAGAAATCACTGCTCTGCATACAAAACAGCTCTCGTACTCTTTCCTCTACAGATCTGGAACAGAAGTGGAAAATTTTTTTAGCTGCTTCTTTTCTCTCTCTCGCTCTCTCTCCCTCTTTCTATCTTGTTTTGTCTTAGGGAGGCAGGAAAGCAAGAGAGAGAGAGAGAGAGAGAGCAAGAGAGAGCGAGGTTCTCCACCAGAGTGACTTAATGAATGGCGGAGAAGGGGAGTGTGAGATTTATATTCCCACCACTGAAATCCACTTCAAATAGACTGTCACATCTCCTCGATGTGTATTAATACGTCTGCGGTCGCCGCTTGCGCTGTTATGATAGGGGTAATATTGTTCGGAGCCTCGAGGCTGTAGATTTGTATCCCGTTTACACTCTGGGTTTCTTCTGAATACAAACAAACCCATGTGCCCAGACTGTTTTTGTGTGCGCATGTGTGTGTTTTGCGAAATTAAGTCGGGAGGAATTTCTGGATCTCTGCTATCCACTTAAAGAGTGTTGGGAAATCGCAGCATCTGTCTCGGCCCCAAACAAGCTGGTTCCTTGTGTGTGGTTTAATAGTCAGTGTATACAAAGCCTCAGTGCTCCTCTGCCAAGGCCTCAGCTGAAGCTCCTTCAGCCACACCCTGAACAAACGGGTCAATCAACTTTCCAAACTATGCTTCTCCCTTACCAACTCAACCCAGTGTTTATCATTGCAGGGGAATTATTGATAAACACATAGCATTTTATATACAGCATAACATTAACATCGAGGACCGATGTAGCCGTCTGCCATTGCTTGGGAGTGTGTGTGTGCGTGTGTCAGTTCAAAGCTGTGCTGGGTTCACTGGAGTACTTACAGGTGTACAGAGAGGGATGTTATAGAAATAGTGATTTTTATCAAGAAAGCAGTTTAATTACTCAGTTTGCCTTGGATGGCGATTGAACTATGTAAAATAAATTTCTCATATTACAACCTGACCACAGTCATTTCTTTACTTTATGAACAGAAGACAGTTGAATAAGCTACTCAGAAAGAAACACTGTTAATAATCACATAACCATTTTAAAAAAATGACAACATGAACATAATTTTTCATATTCTTGAAATAACCACAGGTTCGAAAAAGGACAACTCTCCCTTCAGAAGGTGTGTGTTTGTGTATTGCCTGTGTTTGTATGAGCGTGCAAGTGTGTTTGTGTGTGCGTGTGTGTGTGTGCTAACCTATTGCTGAAGCTTCGTGTCCCCATACCAAGATGGGTCAGGTCCTGAGGTAAGCACCAGTCTCACTTTGCTTTGGTTAAAAAAGTCAAATGTGACCAAAATAAAATAATAAAAAAAGAACACCTTGATATGACAATGTGCTACAGAATAAAGCCTCTGGAGTTCTGCAAAAGCCTCCAAAATCTGTAACATGTTCAGTATATTCACTAAGGCTGGAAGGGTCATTAGTCCTATCACAGTGCATTCATGGCTTAAAGTCTTCACATTCACCTACTGAGGTTGTAATCGTCACTAGTGGTCAACAAACTCCCCTCCGATGCAAATAGGAAAAAAGAAAGGCCATTATGTTCTGGGGAGTATAAAAAAATAAGCTTAAGGGTGCCATTTAAAATATACAGCCCACATAATCACAAAATGACATTATTTTAGGGCATTATTTTCACTAATGTGGCAAAGCAGAATCCCATGATATGGCTTTGGACAATTGGGTGTGTGCTGTTTGTAGCTTATGGGGCAGGTGGAGAGGGGTTTATCCTGGCAGCATGTAGATCACAGCAACCGTTCAGCAGCCATGAAATCTAGGATCAGGCCGACAGACAGCGCGAACAGTCTGAGAGAATTAGGGATTTCACAGAGCTTATCCTGAGTGGAGCAGCTGCAGTGAGCGTGCCGAGCCCTATCTGTGCTCTCAGTGTCAGAGAGAGTGCCCCGCGTCTAATCCTCATAGCTGTCACATTAACAACTCTGTGTGCGCGGGCATGGGGCAGTGACGCTTCTTTAGCCATTAACAAGGATGGTACAGCACCACAGTGGAATCTACACAGCTCTCTGTGACGTTTTTCTACGAATATGGAAGCTTACGTACTGTGAACGCTGGTAGATTAATCATTTATCAAATGATGTGGGCTACTTGGAAAGAGTTTATATACACTAGATGTGGAGAAAGGGCGCTTTTGTTCCGCTTGCTATTTGTTTGGTTGTGAGTGCTATTGAAGATTGGCTGCTTTCTCTCTAATGCGTTCACTGTGTCTTCCCAGAGAAGACTTTTGGGCTGCATTGTAAATATTACCCGATTTTTGGGCTACACCCATGCTTAGTCTAGCGCACCATATGGACAGAAAGTCGTGGACACGGATTACTGTGTCATGATCAGAGTATGTGCAATGATATCCCAGATGTGAGCTCACAGGGCTATGCTGTGCTACTTTCTGAACAACAAGTTTCAAGACACTTGGTTGGATATCAAGTAATATGTCGGGTTGAGGGGGAAGTGGAAAATACAAAAGAGTCGAAGGCCGCTGACTGCAAAAATAATTCAGTCTATATAAGACACTCTGGATATCCATCACTACACTGATGGGAATCACTGCATCAATGCATAGAAAAGCTTAGATCACTTTACCAAAGTGCTGGAACAAACACTGTCTTCACTTAGTTGCTCCCTTTTGTATGGAAAAGCTGGGCCACTCAGCAAAGCAGGAAACTGAGATACAGGAGATATCCAGTATTCCAAAAAGTATTTAAAGTCCTCCAAATCACTATAAAATCCCAAAGATGTGGCTTTTTCTCTAGTCCAGAATCCCTTCTCCATCCTGGACAGAAGCCCTGAAAATTGTTCATATGTGCTTTTTTTCTCATTCTACATACACTAGTAATACTTAGTACACAGGTTTAGGGTATGATTGCAACTCTCTTTTGAAACCTCTTTTCTTTGGCTTTTGCGTACATACAAAAACAAAGAAAATAAATAAAAACCATCTCTTTTTGGTTTTCGATTGATTCTTTGGCTCGGCGACTGAACAAAAAGGAAGTTGTTTTTTTTTATAAATACTGCACTGTTACACGAGTGTGTCCATGGCTTGGAGCGGATTATAAATAACGCAGTTCTCCTTTTAGGAAAATATTTTTTAAAAAAAGCAAGTACTGCAAAATGTGCAGAGAAAGGCACTTTTAGAAGTCAATGCAGTCTGTGTGCATTTTCACGGCCAACTGTCTCTGGCCTCCTGTGTCTGAGGTGCAGATTCAAATGAAGTTGAGGTGAGAGTTGAAATACTGTGGGCAGCATACAGTGATGTGTCGTAGCTGGGCCAGCTGAGCCGTGGCATTTGAAGGCAGGGTCGGCAGTCTCCTCTGCCTAGCTGGGGGAGTAGCGGTCAATGGTGCGGGACTCTGCAGGGGAGAGGCTGGGGGACGGGTGGCAGTGGCAGGACGTCCATCTTGTCATGGGTGAGGCCCAGGTGCTCGGCAGTCAGTTTGGACAGTGGATACAGGCTCTCCATGGCCTTGGCATCAGCCAACAGATGCTGGGAGGCCTGCGCCAGAAGCTCTGAAGCCTTCTCCTGCTTCAGGCCCAAGTGCTCAGCTGCATACTTGCTCAGGGGGTAGATGCCCTCAGTGAAGTCCATCTTCAGCTTGCCATCGGCTGCAAGCCCCCCACCAGCCCCACCGCTGCTGTGCATCTTCATGTGGCTGATGAGGTTGCGCTGCTGGGCAAACTTGCCACCACATACCTGGCACTCGTAGGGTTTCTCGCCGGAGTGGATGCGCATGTGCTCGGTGAGCCGGTACTGCCGTGTGAAGCGCATTCCGCAAGCATCACAGGCAAAGGGCTTCAGGCCAAGGTGACTGCGCATATGGCGGGTCATGGTGCCACGTTGTGTGAACTTTTTGCCACAGATGCTGCAGGGATATGGGCGTGTCAGCCAGTGGGTCTTCTCGTGCTGCCGCAGGGTGGCCGGGTCTTTGTAGGACTTGTCGCATGAGGAGCAACGATATGGACGGATCATTTCTCCAATGCCCATGGGATGCAGGTTTTGCCCTGATTTGCTCTCCAAGAAAGGGCTGTGGAGGCTGCCAGTACTGTTCAAGCTTGCGGGACCATTGGCAATGGCGGGTTTGCCTGTGCTGTTGCTATTGCTGCTGTCCAGCTCTCCCGCAGGGTTGAGCTCTTCTTCTGCATGAGTTTCAACATGGGCATTAAGCTGCTCTGAGCTAGGAAAACCCTTGTCACAGGGGATACATACATACAGGTTATCTCCAAAGGACTCTGGCTCATAGGGCATATGATACCTTCCGCGGGCTCCAGGGGGAGATGGCCGGCCCTCACTGCTGCCTGTCTCTTCACTACCCGTCCCATTCTCATCCTCTCCATCGCAAGTCACTCCCCTACCATAGCCTCCCTCACTCAGGTTCATCTTTTCCTCGCCATTCTTGTGGTGGTTCATGTGCTGGTGCACCTCTTTTTCCTGCTCCCCCATTCCCCCACTATCTTCTTCATCATCATCCTCATCTTCATCCTCCACACTGTAGGGCATTGGTTCGTTCTTCACCCAGCGGTAGATGCTGGGGCCGTCCCTGCTGCGCTCTCCTGGCTCCTCGGAGGGCTCCGGGCTGGGATGGGCACGGGTATGGCTCCTGGCCCTGGGAGTTGGAACGCTGCAGGTGTGGGAGGTGAGATGCAAGAGGCTGATTGAGAAGGGGGAAGGAGTGTGGGGTGAGAGAGCCTCCTCGGTGTACAGCCTCCATTTTCCCGGCACCTTCGCTTGGGCTGAGCATGGGGCTTGTGCGGTGGCTCAGTTCCCCCTCAGGCTCCTCATCATGGTGGCTCAGATGAGGGTGGGCAGAATGCTGCTGGGATTGGGAGGGGCTTTTCTTGGATAGGTCCAGTCCATATATTGGTGAGCAGTTCCTATCAGCAGAGGGCATTCGTAGGCCTGGCTGTGAGGGCAGAGCTGCTTGTGTGGGAGGGTAGGGCTGTGGGCCCTGGGTAGAGCCTGGGGCATAAAGCTCTCCTGCATGGTGGGCCATGGGGTGGGGCGGTAGATCCTCCAGCGGTGGGCCTCGTGGTCCGTGGGCAGTCATCACCCCACTCGAAAAGCAGGGCTGGATCACTGGGGTGGACACCCGCAGCCGACCCCCCACCATCCCGCTGGGACCCATTTTACTGTAAGGCAAAAACCCAGGTGTGGGTCGTAAGTGGTATTTCCCATTTCTCTTCAGCTTTTTCTTGCACAGTGCCACCAAGTCCAGCAGTTGCAAGTAGCTGGCAGCTGCCAGCACTGCCCCTATGTTGGGCTCTGTGGGAGAGGTGGGGTCACCTTCGCTTAAACGTCCTGTGTAGATATAGTCGAGGATGACTCGGAAGACGCCTGGACTCACCATCTCATGGTCCAGGTTGATGAGGTTGTCATGGACAACAAGGGACTTAAGGTAAAGACTGCTGGCAGCCAAAATGTTCTTATGAGCACGAAACAGAGCATTCTGCACCACTATGATTACATCGCACAAGAAGCCCTTGGTGCGCTGCGTGTTCAGTTGCAAGAGGAGGTGCCTAGCATGACTTGGGACTTCCATGGCATCCAGCATCGTCTTCAGTCCACCACCTGAAACAGCAGGAAGAGAAATGGAAACATTAAGCAACAATCTCTATGTGAATTCAAGACCACCACTGGGTTTTCAGGTGGGCTTAATTGCCCGCATTACAAAACAACCTTGTAGAAATCCTGCAGAACCCTGAGGGAAAGCTGGAAAGCAGCACAGTAAACTGACACTAGAGTTCAGGAGGTAAAGTTGTGCCAATCTGTCCACTTCAATAACTGTTGTTCTAACAAATGACTAACTATGAACATTACTCAGGAAAAGGATAGGAGCACCTGAGCCAGGATCTACTGTGGGTCTTTGGTTGGCACAGCAGAATGATGTGAAAAACACACACTGCATCTTGAACTCCAACACAGCCCCAGTTTACTTTCCTTGTTTTTACAGAATAAGATTAAGAGGAACTTTGAAAGAATTCAGATGTGTGCTCAACGAAATACACATCAGCAACAGCTCTTTAAACACGAGTAGTAGTAGTTTTGTAATCCTAAGTCCATGTTGAAAAGACACGCTAAGAAGTGAGCAAAATGTAAAAAAAAAAAAAAATGCAATATAAATGTGTTTTCATATTGCTGTCTTCCTGATAAAGCATTCCAGAGGTGGTGTGCGAAGTTTTAAAACAAAGTCAGACTGAAGGTTTTGCAAGTGTGATGAACAGCAGGTATAAACCAGTGGGGACAAAAATGTGTCCAATAAAAGATAGGACACTCAGCTCCCTTTCAGCTCGGTCAAATAAGGAACTACAGACACACTTACTGTAAATCTTATCAAAACTCTGGGGCTCGGGAGTGTGACTTGAAAACCAATCTTCCATCATGGTTAAATGTAAATGCTGACTCTTACCCAGGATGTCCACAAAAAATAGAAAAAGAAAAAAGAAAAAAAAAACGCCCCAAAGGTTCCAGCTCCAAGTCGGATGTTCTAATCCCTCTAACACAAACATAACAAACTGTACAAATTTACCAGGATGTATTGTTCAAACACTATTTCATGCTGGCACTCCACAACCCTGTTCATCTGTCGTAGGACATGAGGAAATACGGATTTAACTTATTTAGTCGATCTGAAAGCAAGTCAAATGAAGAACAGAACGATATAACAGCAGTGTGCCTATACAAACTCGTCTCTCTCTCTTTCTCTCTCTCTCTGCAGATCGGAGAGCTGCTGCACGTCGCGCTCGCTCTCGTGTCTCTCGCGCGACAACCGGACTATAGACGCTGCTGCAGAGGATTTACTACAGTCCGCTCTGAGCGGTGAGATCGTTCAGATTACAGCTAACTGGCGACAAAAAAATAAAAAATACAAATGAACAAAAATTTTTATATTTCATTCTGTCATGTTAATTATAGTAATACCCCAATGAAAAAGACCTACAGGAATTTCTACAGGATTTCTAAAAGAATTCATTGTAAATTCAGACAATTACAATAGTTTACTACAGGACACTACACCAGCGTTATAGATTACTACAAGGCAGCGGGAATACTCTGAGGCGAAAACAGTACAGACATTTATAAAAGTATTACGCAGCCTTCTTAAAGTTTCTCAAAGTTTCTTTTAGCACTACTATAAAATCATCACATAAAAAACAGTGGAAATTCTGTTTGGTGGAGTAGCGCACACTATCCTGACTGAAGACAGTTAGTAATGCACCTGCACCAAAGAGCTCCAAATCAGTCCACTGTGTCAGAAACAAAGCTACTGTAAAGGTACATTTTCGTTCATTAAGGTGCAAACAATCTTAATTTACCCTCAAAAGTACAATAATGGCGTTACAGTCAAATTTTCCCAGAGGAAAAGTGCATATTTTTACCTATTGTTTTAAAACAGTATAAGGATGGAGATGAGACAGGGTGTGTGGAGTCAAAACAACTTAAAAAAAAATAACTGCAATTGATCATGGTACTATTACGTTCCCCAACTAAAGGTACGAAGACGAACCCTTGAGGGTACCACGCCAGTGACAAGCCCTAATGATAGTTATTTCCTTTTTCTGAGAGTGCACATTACAGACTAGTCTTTTTTACTGTTATTTTTTAGGTAATATGTTGCTTAAGCATACCGAATAATTTAAGCAAATGAGGCTACATCATTGCACACAACTGAATGCGCGGTGCTCAACCAGCTCTGGTTAAATTTATTGCACTGGAGGCTTCCCACAGCAGGACGGTATAAAGAACAAGGAGCAGCTCGGTGTTTCCCCCCGGACTGACCATACGCGCACACGCCTCAGCACCTGCAGGTGGATTTAAGGTGAAAGAACCGTTTCTGCCTCAAAACCTTCCTGTCTGAGCTTCATCATCTCCACATGCACGGACAGCGGTCGCCTTACTCTTTGTGTTGCTCAGAGTTTTAGCCAAACTCTTGCCTATACAGATTATTCTGCTGCTTACAGAAAAAAATAAAATACTGTATATTCAAAGATTCAAATAAATGCAGTAAATCTGCTGATGCTTAAAGCAGCAGTAATAAAAGCGTGTATTTCACTTTAACGCTGCGCTAACGCGAGTAAATCACGTTAGAAGCTTTACTTTAACACTTCTGTCCACGTCTTACCCAAACACTGCTCTCTCCTCTGTGGCTTAAAATAAACAAAGCATCAGTAATCACGTTTCCAACACTAATGCATTTAAAACACAATAATCCCAATAATCCCTTATTAGCCCTTCCTAGGTCACCTTTACCATTCCATTTCATTTATCTAAACGCAAAGTCTATACAAAACAGCTCTCGCTGTGCAGGTTAGATCTAATAGAGCTGCATTCATTTAAGAACTATAATAAAGTCCTATCAGGGCGAGAGTGAAGTAGCCTACAGTGTCTGAAAAAAGCTACTGTGCAGATAGATTTCTCGTTCATCAAGGTAGAAACAATACGAATGTATCCTCAACAATGGTTTCAAGGTCCAACTGTGCACCTTAAGTTTTTACCCAAATTTGCACCTTTTTTCATAACCTTATGTTTTAAAACAGAACTGTAAAATTAACAAAACAACTTTAAATATATACTTGCAATGGATTGTACTACAATTGTGTTCCCCAAATCAAGGTACTGAAGACGAACCCTTCAGGGTACCACCCCAGGGACCCTTTTTTTCTGAGAGTGTAGATGCGAGTGCCCATGTCTCGGCTGTCTGTGAGTGTGGCTTTGCTATATTTGGTCTGCTGCGTGGCTCTTTGCTCTAAGGCGCAGCGTGGCTCGCGTTTTGAAGCCGGACTGCTCCTCATTAGCCCTGTGTTTTGTCTGCGTTGTCACCTCGCTGCTTTAAGGCGAACGGGGGTCTCTGCTCGTCTTGGGGAGCAGCGCTGGGACTTCCTCTCTCTTCCCCTCCCTCCCTCTCAGCTTCAGACTCTTTAAGTCTGCTTTAACTTTACTGAGCCGCCGAGGGACATATTCGCTCGCGCACAGCGTCATATCTAACTCTGACCTATGGAAATAACATTTCGTGTAGTTCACGATTCAGTCACTGCATTTAAAACCCTTTGCACTGCGTGCACCCGCATGTGGCTCCTCACTTCGATTCCTCCCTCTCATAACAACACCACTGACCTGACCTGTCAGTTTCGTGGCACTTGCTGAGTGATTTGTTGTAGTTACTTATTAATAAGAAATGAATATCTTGGAAATAAGCACAAGTACAGGTCATGGGGTTAAAAAAAGTTCATTAAAAATGCAGCACATAATGACAGTGTGTTTCCAACGCAGCTGCATGTGTTGGGTTTCTACACTGTCAGAAAAGGGGGGGATTTTTTTGGCCTTCCAAATAATGTAAATGTACCCACAAGTATAACATTGGTCCTTCAGTGAGTTGTAAAGGTACACTTCTTTCACACTTTCATGAAATAAGCATTTTGTACACTTATAACCTTTTTAAGTAGAAAAATAAAATGAAAAGCTCGGAGATTAGGTATATGGGGCAACTTAAAAAAAATATATTACTTCAGTGTAGCATGGTACAGTTATGTTCTCTATCTAAAGGAGCCCTTGACAGCACCACAGTGACAGCGTGTCTACCCGAAAAGTGCAGTTTCTTTAGACAAGTCTTGTGTCAATAATTCATTTGTTCCCCTGAGGCGTCAGAAAAAATGAGTCGTTGTCATTCTAACGAAAAATGGCTGTGGTGTTGCAGAAACGATTAAGTAGTCTGAGCATTAAGAGCAACAGCAGACTGTGTTCGGCTCTTCATCTGCACTGAAACTCCTGCCTGACTCCCTGAAAGTACAGCTTCAGGGTTTTTGTGAATGAAATGTAAAACACTATTTAGCCACGAAGGCTTATTTACTCGAAACGTGAAGCAGAAGTGCTACAAACGGTTGAACTATTCAGTCAGCGATGGCGGCTCGAACCGGTTCGGGCAAAAAGTAAATAAAAGCCCAAACTCATTATATCCTGTGCTGTCTTCGTCTAAAACCAGCTAACAAATCTTACCCTCACGGACTGCAAGAGAGAGCAGAACGTCAGTCTCTTCTCTCTCATACACACACTGTCCCTGAGCAGAGCCGGGTCATTCACACACACTTTCTCTCCAGTCACCCGTGAGGAGATGGATGTGCTACCAGAGGACATTTCCGTGCTAATTTCAGCCATTAAAAACTCACTGTGGTAAACAGAAGATTCACCAGCCTGTACGCTTCTTTAAAAAAACTGTTTCTCGTCAATGCAGTTAAACTGCTTGCACCATCCTCACATCCCACACATGTACTACCACGACAGGAAAATCATTAATAATCTTAATTTTGCATGTAGGCCCATAAACTGTACATTTATTACACCAAGACTGCGATTAACATCTCAGCGAAGTGTCGCATCTCCAGACGCCTCAAATCTCTAAAATAAGGTTTAAGACCAACTTTAAGCAGCAAAAATAGTTATTATATTTTACACAGGTTTAATTAAACAAAGGTAGTCTTATAAGCTCAGTGCACTCTTAAAAACAAAAAGGAAAAATTCTTCTGTTCCTCCAAATGTATTTTTGTGAGAACATCAACAGGTCAGTTCTGCTCGCATCCTAAGCGCCGTTCAGCTCTCTGCTTCCCTCCAGACTCCTCATGAACATGTATGTGTACGTTTATGTTTATGTGCAAAATTCATGCATTACCGCTCCAGCTCCTTGACCCAGTGCTGAAGAGGAGAGATGAGACTACAGACAGACGCCGCGGAGTAAAGCTGCTCCAAAAGAGGCTTTCCCAACACCTTGGTTAGCTGGAGGCCACTAACCCAATCATAAACTTAAACTAGTTACACCATTAGTCTGGAACAGAGCGAGCTATAGCGTTCAGTCTGGACATAAAAGCAAAGCCTAAAAAGCAGACTAATCTAAAAACGTTTAGAAAGTAATTAGGACAGGAGTAATTCGTATCGAATGACAGCTAGCAGGCTGCTGTGTGCGTCTTACTTGGTTTTAGGCTACACAGAAAAAAATCATGATATTGTCGAAAACGAACGTGTAGGCTGAGATATGAGTTTATCGGCGGAGTGCAGATCCCTCTCAGCCAAAGCGTCTATAAAGCGTCCGTAAAAGTGATGTAAAGTGTAGTAAAGTATCGCAGTAAGCCGTGTTAGAAGTGCTGCAGGAGTTTACCTGGATGCCCGAACTCTTCTGCCATCCGCTCTAAGTCTCCCTTCATGATCATCTCAGCTCTCTTCTGCAGTCATTTCTGACGTCTCAACTTTGAACTGCCAGCCTCCAAAAACCCATGCCAGTTTTCCGAGCACGACTGCCAGCTCTTTTTTTATTATTAATTGCGACGAATTTCTGGTTGCTCGCCCTCCTCCTCCTCCTCCCTCCCTCCTCTCTCTCTCGCTCTCTCTCTCTCTCTCTCTCTCTCTCTTTCTCTCTCTCCACCTCTCTCTCTCCGCTCTCACTCCTCCTTTAAAAAAACCGTGCTTACTCCAGCATCAGTTTCCTTCGATTTCTTCCTATATATCTGTGATTTGCTTGGCTGCTGGTCGGTGTGGAAGCTCTAAGAGGCGAGTGGAGATGATGATAACTCAACCCCTGTGTGTGATGTCAGGCTATAATAAAACTAAAAGGTAAAATCGAGGGCAGGAACTTACAGTGACCTCAACTTGAACTGCACAACACGTCGCTCCGTCTTAAAGAGACAGGCGTTTTAGTGTATATCACAGGCCTGAGGTTTTACAAGGGGAACGCAGAAAAGCGTGGAGAAATATCAAATAAAAAAATAAAAGCCCCGTGCTGGTGAGACCTCTTCTTCTTCACTGCCACTGAATAAATTTCTGGGACAGTTCACCTGTCCGGGACAAAGCTCCCAGGGAGCCTAGAGTTTACTGCTTATTAATAAATCCTTCATTTAACACGAGTTAGAAAAGCCTATTAAAATAAGTTTACTTAAACTCAAAGCGGTGCTGTAAATCTGTGTGGGAGGACATCAGGGAATATCTTCTAAACAGAAAATCAAACAGAGGAGCTCCATGAGGGAACAAAACAAAAATGCTGTGTAATTCATGTGTGAGGTAAATTTGCATTCCTTGTATTTCAGACAAAAACAACTTAAGCAAACTGAGGTTTTAAGCTTAACTAAGGTTCAGAAATAACTTCTTTAGTCTCTGCTCCACATTAGGTTCTTCATAACCATTCATAATAATAATAATAATAATAATAATAAACAAAGGAAATTATTTTATTAATGTCTGGCTGTTGCTGTGAGCTTATTAAAAATGAGTCCGTTTGTTTTGGAGGGTTATGTCTCTGACTCACCTGACTTTCTCTCATCTACTGGCCGAGTGAATGTCCACAGCGGTTGTACGTTTCCAAAGGGAGACGCACTCATGAGTGCTGGGCGTATAAATTAACGTGTTTGTCTGACACATACTGGGCTGTGAAAGCACAGTATGAATATGAATAAGGTGAGCTTTGGTGAAATAAAGGCCTTTCTTCACATCTGCTGTGACACTCCATCCATTTCCCCTGCAGTAGTTTTATATTCAGTTTGAGAACCTCCACTGCTTCATCCTGTAGATTTGTAGTGCTGAACGCACAGTCAGTGTTAATACACTGTACTGTAAGTAAGACAATTAAGAAGTATCCTGTAACTCTAGTGCACCGTTTCTTCTTGTTTTGAAGAGTCTACCTGTCATCTACAGCTGGACTCATCGGGGCTGTGAATTTTATCTAATTTAATTTCACAACTTTGGCTTTGTAGGAGGCCTACCTTAGGATATAATAACTATGTCTGATTTATACCAAACAGCTATTACCACACTAAAGTAATTCAATAATAATTAAAACATCTCTAGCAGCTTACTGGATATTTTTTATTTTTGGCTTTTTTGTAGTGAAAATGATTCATGAATAATAATAATAATAATAATAATAATAATAATAATAAACTTTTGTTACAAAGCTTAAGGCCTAAAAACGTAACTGTACAATGTGTAATAAGAAACAAACAAACTAACAATTAAATAATAAACAGTCCATATCGTCTCGTGTGTTGAGCCGCGCGAGTGTTCGTGTGTGTGTGTGAGTGTGTGAGCGCACCTGAACACGGCGCAGGTAATAAAACAGCCTCCCCCCTCAAACACCCCGCCCCCCGAGCTCTACCCACCTCGGACTCATGTCTGATGTCCCGCGCGCTCTGCTCCGTTCTCTCTCCGCGCGGCTCCCCCATCCAGCTCACCTCCTTTACAGCTCTCTGCCCTAGAGCCTGTCCGCGCGCTGTCCCCCTGAACTCCAGCCCCGGGCCTCTCTCTTTCTCTCTCTCTCTCTCTCTCTCTCTCTCTCTCTCTCTCTCTCTCTGTGTCTCTCTCTCTCTCTCTCACCCTCTCGCTCTCTCTCTCACCCCTCTCTGTCCTCATAAGCTTTTACTCTGCGCGTGCTACAGCGCGTCTTGGTCGGTCGTGCTCGTGTTGGGACGCAGCGCGCGGCGCTACCAACCGGAGCTGCAGCTGCAGAGCGCGCAGACAGCGACACCTACCGGTGAACAAACGGCCTGTGGGGAGGAGAATAGATCCACTACACACTACAGACAGTCCAGAAATGCATTTGTGTATATATATATATATATATATATATATATATATATACACACACATACATACATACAATACGTGTGTGTGTGTGTAATGTATATCCATCTGTATTTATCATAATATAGCAGTGATATTTCTCATATGTGTAAAGCCCACTTCCAGCAATGTATTGAAAAATCTGGAAAGTGGTCTATAATGAGTTTTGGAACAAAACAAAAAAATCATATATATATAACTGAACATATATGCAAACATGAACTTTTATCTGCTATATATAACTGGTATATTAAACATAACTGGTTATTATTGCCAAATAATGAACATATTTAGTGCAGTACAACTATTTTCAAGGTATCAGCTTTGTTGTATCGAAACATTGAACATTTGCGTACAAATAGAATTCCTTGTAAATACTTCTTTCCAGAACTAAGAGGAATGTCCTACACTTTGCAGATTAATATGTTTGTTTGTTTATTTTTCACTGTAACCTACATTGTGACCTTATAAACTATGAGCTTTTAAACATTTGGCAGTCAGGCTTCTGGCTACTGTTCTGGCAATTTATGAGCTTTATATCCATTGAAGCGACACTTCTTTGGTGGTCTGAAATAAAAGGGTGGACCGTTAAGTTAGCATGCTGTGGTCATCAAGAGACAGTATCAGAAAGCATGTTTATTAATAAGTAGTAATCTTCAACAAATGGGGTAACACATTCCAACTGTCTTTGTTATAGAACTCATTAATGTAGCTATGTTGCCCTTATTAAATGAACCTGAGCTGTGAATCAGCTACACACATTGTCCTGATGGCCTGCACACTGAGTAGCACTGAGCGCTCTTATTTCCTGACCGAAAAGAACCTGCACTTTTCAACATAAGCCAACACATAGATCAGTCTGTACATCTACATAACACTAATATGTGTTACTGATGAAATGTAGTGTAGTTATTAGTGATGCAGATAACTCTGCACTTCAGGCAGGCTTCTGCAATTCCAGCCAAGTGGTCCAGTACAGTGGAAGTTGTCACACATTTGTAGTGGAAATTTCATTTTTCCTTGGTTTAACTGTGTACAGTTCGTGGTTCAGCACTGAGATAAAAGTGGTCACTGAAAGAGAGAGAGAGAGAGAGAGAGAGAGAGAGAGAGACTCACCTTGGCAGACACTTCTTCCTGTCACTGCTTGCCCCTGACCTTTGGATCTCTTTAACGGCTGACTGATATCCGTTCCAGGGCCTTTCCCTCCAAATTACTCAAGACAGAGATGCTGTTCTTTCATTAGACTGGTCAAAGTCACAGCAGTCCAGCTTAAGAGAAGGCGAGGTATTGTCTTTCACTTCCAGTTTCCCTTGATGAACTGCTGATAACCTCAGCGACACAGATAGGCAGAGCTATACAAAGGACAGATGCGCGCCCCCCAGCACCTGGCTGTTTTTCAGTTCACTTTTAAAGTCAAAAGTGTGGTGTAAGCCGTACATAGGCCTATACATGACAGAAACAGAGGTTAGAGATACAGCGGGCCCAGAAAGTGTTTGTACCATTCTTAAAAATGTTAGGAAACAAAATGTCAAACCAAGTGGCATTTATTTTAAACAGATCTTTCTAAGACTGTCATTTTCGTTCTATGTCATTACTTTTCTTTGTGATTATTCAAATATGCTCAAATGTGGTAATATTTGAGCAGTTTTTTGTAGGTTTGCCCCATAATGTCTTTTTACACTTCTGAGTTTAAAATATTTCCACCTTTGTGTTGTACAGTAGCCTCAGTGTAATCTGGATGGAAATCTTCTCCAGGCTTTCTCCAAACAGCGATTCAACCATCAGTTTAATGTGCTAAACATGTTTTTCTCTGAAACAAATAATTATACTAATTTTGTTGAACATTTTGTGCAGCAACCTAAAGAACTTCATTAAAGTTTACCAGTGGTTAAATGCGTAAAGTGTCCAAATACATTTTGGATCACTGTAGCTCAAAATAGCTGAGGAGAAAGCTATGCTGTGCTGTATGATGCTGTGCTGCTTGACCCTCTCTGCCAGATGTCATTCAATATCCAAATTCACTCTAAATGGCAGTATTGCTCCCTATTACAGAAAAAGTGCACTACATACTGGGTCAGTTATTTTTGTACTTGTTCAAATTCTCAGTGACAGATCTTTCAGTCGTTCGTAGGTCAAACACTATAAAAAAGAACAGTGAATGAGTTAAAGAGAAATTCCACAGATTTTTTGAAAGTCCTGCATAATTCTCTTGTTAAGATCTAAACAAAGTCATTCAGAGTGGTTTGATGTGAAAGTCAACATTCTAGAGAAACTTGCCAGGTCAGAATTATTTACAGTGCTAGTGATAGGAACCAGATGTCTAAAGTATTTCTTGCCTCTAAATGCTACAACAAAGCAAGTTATTACATGAAGTGGATATGAATACATTGCCTGATGCCTGGGACATAGGGTTGGCCTAAAACATATTTTTAATCCATTCATGGTGGGGAGGCACATCCAGGGCATTGTTTTGAATCACCACTGTTTCGCCATTATCAACATTACATATAAAAGCTCAGAAGACATGAGAGCGTTCACTGTTTTATTTATTTTTTTGTTTTTACAACCCCTCTCACCATTATTATGAGGAATATCTGAGCTGATGCCTCTATAATGCACCATTTTAGGTCAAAACTCTGAAAGACTGTTTAATTCACTGACAGTATTATGCAGAAATTCTGAAAACTTGGTGGAATTCCCCTTCAACGAGTAAACCACTCCAAACACTCGTGGTGTATGAGGCAATATGAGGCTTGTGTGTCCAAGACAAACAATTCTTTTGTTAAACTTACCACTAAAAGTTACTTTTGTAATTTAACTTAATTGCTTTATTAATTGCTTTTGCTCAGTTAGAAAGAATACGCTAAGCAGGAGCACTGAAACTGGAATACACAAAACTTTCTTAAAGTCTCCGCTATTACTTTAATGGCCATAACTCTTCCTCGGATTTAACCGATGGAGGAGGACGCACAGTCTGGGACGGACATTTTCAGTTCATATTTGTAGGACTTTTCAGATAGTGACAGCAGAAGTC